ATTTTGGGGTGATTTTGGGGTTGGGTTTTGGGTGATTTTGGGGTGATTTTGGGGTTGGTTTTTGAGCTCATTTTGGGCTGATTTGGGTGGATTTTGGGGCAGTTTGGGGGTGATTTTGGGCTGATTTTGGCACTCAGCTGGGCACATCTGGGAGGGGCGGGGCGAAAAAAACCCAGTGGAATTGGGTGAAAAATGGGGATTTTGGGGGGTTTTGGGGGGATTTTGGGATGGATTTTGGGCAATTTTGGGGTGATTTGGGGTTGATTTGGGGGTGAATTTGGGATGGATTTGGGGCAATTTTGGGGTGATTATTTTGGGGTGATTTTGGGTTTGATTTTGGGGTGATTTTGGGGCAGTTTGGGGGTGATTTTGGGACTGATTCTGGGTGATTTTGGGGTTGGTTTCTGGGCTGATTTGGGCTGATTTTGGGGTTGTTTGGGGGTGATTTGGGGTTGATTTGGGGTGGTTTTGGCTGATTTTGGAGCAGTTTGGGGATGATTTTGGGCTGATTTTGGCACTCACAATGGCATGGCTGGGAGGGGATGGGCAAAAAAAACCCTGGAAATGGGGTGAAAAATGGGGATTTTGGGGGGTTTTGGGCACACCTGGGCACTCACCTGGCACCCCTGGGCACACCTGGGCATGGCCGGGAGGGGCGGGGAGAAAAAAACCCGGTGGAAATGGGGTGAAAAATGGGGATTTTGGGGGGTTTTGGGTGAGGGATGTTTTGTGCTGTTCCCTGCTGGCGGCCATTTTGTCTGCCCCGCTGGTGGCGGCCATCTTGTGGGCCCTGCTGGTGGCGGCCATCGTGCCATCCCCTGTAGGCGGCCATGTTGGTTGACCCACTTATGGCAGCCGTGTTGGCCAAACCACTGATGGCAGCCATCTTGCCTTTCCCCATAAGCAGCCATCTTGCCTGACCCACTGACGGCAGCCATCTTGTCTGCCTTGCTTACGGCAGCCATATTGCCCAGCCCCACGGATGGCGGCCATCTTGCCCCCCCCTGCCTGCTGATGGTGGCCATCTTGCCTGCCCCACTCACTGCAGCCATATTGCCTAACTCACTTATGGCGGCCATCTTGCCCAACTCACTTATGGCAGCCATATTGCCTGACTCACTTATGGCAGCCATATTGCCTGACCCACTTATGGCAGCCATATTGCCTGACTCACTTATGGCAGCCATATTGCCTGACCCACTGACGGCAGCCATATTGCCTGACTCACTTATGGCAGCCATATTGCCTAGCCCCACTGACGGTAGCCATATTGCCTGACCCACTTATGGCAGCCATATTGCCTGACCCACTTATGGCACCCATATTGCCTGACCCACTGACGGCAGCCATATTGCCTGACCCACTTATGGCAGCCATATTGCCCAGCCCCACTGATGGCGGCCATCTTGCCCAGCTCACTTACTGCAGCCATCTTGCCTAGCCCCACTGATGGCAGCCATATTGCCCGACTCACGGCAGCCATATTGCCCAGCCCCACTGACGGCAGCCATCTTGCCCACTCCGCCCGCTGATGGCGGCCATCTTGCGGGCCCCACCGCCGGCAGCCATCTTGCGGGCCCCGCCCCGCTGACGGCGGCCATCTCGCGTCCCCCGGCGGCAGGAGGAGGAGGCGCTGCTGTCGGAGATGGACGTGACGGGCCAGGCCTTCGAGGACATGCAGGAGCAGAACCTGCGGCTGCTGCAGCAGCTGCGCGAGAAGGACGACGCCAACTTCAAGCTGATGTCGGAGCGCATCAAAGCCAACCAGATCCACAAGCTGCTGCGCGAGGAGAAGGACGAGCTGGCCGAGCAGGTGCTGGCCCTCAAGGCCCAGGTGAGAGCCCCCAGAGTCGTCAATTAGCCGTTAATTGGTGATTAATTAATTATTAATAGGGATTAATAGCCATTTATTGGCTATTAATAGGGATTAATAGCCATTTATTGGTTATTAATAGGGATTAATAGCCGTTTATTAGGTATTAATAGGGTTTATTAGCAATTTATTGATTATTAATAAGGTTTATTAGGCATTTATTAGTCGTTAATAGCGTTTTTAGCTATTTATTAGTTATTAATAGGGTTTACTTGTTAATAAGAGGGTTTATTAGCCATTTATTAGTTATTAGTAGGGTTTATTAGACATGTATTAGTTATTAATAGGGTTTATTAGTTATTAATAGGGTTTATTAGTTATTAATAGGGTTTACTAGTCACTTATTAGTTATTAATAGAAGCTATTAGCCATTAATAGGGTTTATTAGCCATTTACTAGTTATTGATAAGGATTAATGGCCATTTATTAGTTATTAATGGGGCTTATTAGCCATTTATTAGTTATT